GAAAAGTATACGTGGCTCTGTGAAGGATTAATACAATGATTGAAAATGCGAAGAAAACAACAGTTTTGGATGACATTTCTGGATTCCTCATAAGCAGCAACTATGAGGGGTGGCCATGCCTGGAAAGCTGATTTAAAATTGTCTTGCATCTCTGAGAGGAAAGCAATATCTAAAAGCCCAATACTGTAACATGACGAAATGCTACTTAGAACCAGATCTCCCCAAAACTATGTAAGGAGCTGTGCTGAGTCTTTGGCAGAATTTAAGCCCCAAGTCCAGCACCTGCAAGCCTAAAACTTCCATTCAGCTAATAGAAAACTCCAATTACAATGTTTCCCCAGTGTCTAGTGGTGTGCTTGTTCATGAAGGAAAACATTCCAAAAAATCACTTGCCAAACTCAGAGCATATGCAGGAACAGACCTGTTTAGCCTAGTATTTAAAGCCATTACCTGCAAGAGGTAAAAACCTGATCATTACTCCCGACCTTTTTTTGGCTATCTCAGATATTCCAATAGTTAAAAGAAAAGAGAGATTTGGTCTCAGGATCCAACTATGGTTATATATCATCAATATATATCAATATATATCGCCGATGTAGTCACCAAGCCGCTCTCCGTGATCTTTGAAAAGTCATGGCAGTCAGGTGAAGTCCCTGGTGACTGGAAAAAAGGAAACATTGTGCCCATTTTCAAAAAGGGTAGAAAGGAAGACCCCAGGAACTACTGACCTGTCAGCCTCACCTCTGTGCCTGGGAAGATCATGGAACAGATCCTCCTAGATAAAATAATGAAGTAAAGCCTAGAAATATGCCAGAGAAAGCACAGTGTGCCTCATACGAACTCAAGATGTCAGCTGTCTTTATGGAAAAAGGAAGATGAATTTTGGCCCAGTTGAAGGTACTCCGTTAAGAGACATAGGAAGGATGTTGCAGAATTACTCTGGGATACCGTCGACAGTAAGAAGAGAAATTGATCTCTTCTGTAAATGGAAATTTTCTATGAGAGAATGAATTCTGAATTCCTAAAGACCTACAAACTGCTTAGGACTTGTTGGGAGGTATTCTTAGTGTTACCATCAGCTAATGGGAATCACTGCCTTCGTGTGTAACAGGTTAGCAGCATCGTCTGTATGTCTGTTGACACATGAATACTCTAGACTGTGAGTAGTTGTTACTGTGTGAGAATCCATGCAGAATGCATTTTTCTGCAGAGGTCTTCAGTTGTAGGTAGATTTTAAAGGCCCTTCTTCCAGTGTAGGTGCTATTGTATTGCCTGATTTCTGGATTCTCTGTACGCGTCTTTCATCACTGCTGCTGATCAGGTTTTGGAGCCCTCAAGCATTTGCATGAGCCAACAATGTGCGCTGGCAGCCCAGAAGGCCAACTGTACCCTGGGCTGCATCAAGAGAAGCGTGGCCAGCAGGTTGAGGGAGGGGATTCTGCCCCTCTACTCTGCTCTGGTGAGACCTCACCTGGAGTACTGCATCCAGCTCTGGAGCCCTCAGCACAAGAAGGACATGGAAGTGTTGGAGCGGGTCCAGAGGAGGGCTACAAAAATGATCCAAGGGCTGGAGTACCTCTCCTATGAGGACAGGCTGAGAGAGTTGGGGTTGTTCAGCCTGGAGAAGAGAAGGCTGCGGAGAGACCTGATTGCAGCCTTTCAGTACTTAAAGGGAGCCTATAGGAAAGATGGGGAAAATCTTTTTAGTAGGGCCAGCTGTGACAGGGCAAGGGGTAATGGTTTCAAACTGAAGCAGGGTAGGTTTAGGCTGGATATAAGGAAGAAATTCTTTACAATGAGGGTGGTGAAACACTGTAACGGCGTGCCCAGAGAGGTAGTGGAGGCCCCATCCCTGGAAACATTCAAGACCAGGTTGGACGGGGCTCTGAGCAACCTGATCTAGTTAGCGGTGTCCCTGCTCACTGCAGGGGGGTTGGACTAGACCTCTAGGGGGTCCCTTCCAACCCAAAACATTCTATGGTTCTATGATTCTATGAAATGCTGCCTTGAAATATTTAGCTATTTTCTGTAGAGGTGTGGATTTTTTCTACTAAAATAATTCACTTCTATTCCACCCAGAAAGTGGAAGCAAGTTAAAGTGGTAAAATTATAATTTATCCCTGTTGAAGTATAAGCATAATTTTATTAAACCAACTTTAAGAAAACTCACCCCTTTAACCATCAGTAAAGAGAAAGTTTGAATCAGTGACTTAACCAAGAGTGTTCCCATTGGGAACGTTAAGCACATCCACAAAAGTTTGTCAAGCTGGGATGCTTGGTCATACCTCTCAGATACAGACTTTTTTTGAAGCCCTTATGTTGTTAAGATTCAAACTTTAGAAACTTACAACCTACCAAAAAACTAAATCTTGGAACAAGCTTGGGATTTTTAGTTCAGTAGGAACAAAAGAACAAATAAAACCAGTTAAACAAACATAAACCCCCCAACATTTTCCCAACAAGGGCAAAGTTTTTCCATGTCTGAAGCAAGATCACTGGTGTCTAAATTCTCATTCCCGAGGACAATGTTTTTTGAGTAATGCTTTTCCTGACACAGATGTCTTTTCTTACATAAAAGAAGTCTTGACAATGCCTTCACTGCTTCCCTAAAAATACCACCATGCTCTCTGATGATCTTACAGTTCTTTCTAAAACAGTTTCACACACAGAAACATGACTGATCAACCACTACGCTATTCAATTATTTTCACCATCTATCTGTTTTTTAGAAAATTCTTCCTAAACAAAGTCTGATTTTTGGTTATCTAATGACCAAGTAAGTTTGATTTTTGTTTTTTCCCCTTGAATTATACTTTTCTATGTAAACAATTTAAAAAACAAACAAACAAACTAAAACCCCAACAAAACACCACACTTAAAAGCTCTATGTCAAATTTTTTACTGGGGAATCAAAGCCAGGGAAATTGTACTACTTTTTGCCCACTAATACATTGCCTAGCAATTTGTACTGTATATGTGATAATAGGCATATTCTTCTTAATATTTTTCTAAGGCAGAATTATAACCCTATTTTGCTAAAGCGGAAATGCAGCTTTGGGAAATTAACATGCATTTCAAATATTTCACACGGCAACTCCTCTAGCAGTAAGACTGAGAAACCCCTTATTGTCTGGTGAGAAATATGGGTTTAGGTAAATTCAAATAGAAACGGGAATTGAACCTGGTCTCCCAAATCCGAGGTGAGCAGTCTGATCACTGAGATTCTCAGTATAAAATTACCTCTTTTCACTATTTTGTGCTTCTTTTCCATTGATTTTATTATAAGCACCTGCAAATTACCTATTTGCAAGGGTAGCAAAGAACTCTGCTTTTCATAATAAATAAATTCATGTTTTTCATTGTGATAGTTACTGAATGTGGTTATTTTCAAATTACTTTTATTTTGCTTTTGATACTACCACACTGCAGATGGATGATCAGTCTCACAATGTTAAGGTCACTATCATTTCTAAACTGTAAATAAGATATTGAAATCAAGTCTTCATTTTTATTTTTCTCCTTTATAAATGTTACAAGCCTTGGCTCTGTGACTAACGTTTTGAAAAGAGTTGCATCAGTTGTATAATGAAACTGCTACACCCAGTTCCTTTTTATGTTATTTTGTCATTCAAAATACAGTAGTGAATAACTCTCAGAAAATAGAGGTTAACATCAAAGTTTTATCCTTACTTGAAATTGAGTTGCGTGGTTCATTAATTTGGGAAGTATCAGCTGGGTTTTGCCAAACTTTTCATTTCAGAGACTCCATTGATAATCAGTTCAGAAATACAGGCTTGACTTAGAGAATCCTGACTATGTTGGCAAATTATCAGGTAAAATTACAACAAGAAAGAGAAAATGAGGGGAACGCAAAGGAGAGAAGACAGTGAAACAGTGGAGAGGACAGAGTAAAACCAGTGATAAAGATTGAAAAAAATACATCTGGTAAGCAAGGAAAAAGCATTAGTTAGGAAAAAAATAGAAAGAGACTGCCTTTCATACAAAGTGAAAGAAAAAATGGAAGCCTGTAAAACGTGATTAAATTAGTTTACGCTAAAGACAGAACTGATTGTTTGCCAAGTAGAAATTATTTTAAAACATTGTAGATTGAAGCAACAGTGCCTCCTTAGGAACCACTCATACTATTGTGAGCTACAGCCCTGAATTACTGAGAATATGGCTATCTAGGTATTTATTTCTATTTTACTCACCTTTGGCAAATACCTGACTTGGAATGGATACTGTACACATTAGTTCGGCCCAAAACATTTTTTAAAAATAAAGTTTTATGAGACTGTGACAAAAAATAGTAAGATTGTAATTTTTAAATGAGAAGCAGAATCAGGATTTTTTCTGATGAAAATGAGAGTTTATTTGGAATCCTCAGGTATAATACATGTATTGCAGCCTTGGACAGAAAAGCTTCTATGAATATTAGGTATACATAGCAAGATAATTTAATTCTAGATAACTGCACCTGTGCTTTTCCAGAGTCTCTCAGTCCTCCTGCAGGATCAATACAAGTTCAGGGCCTAAATCTTTAAATCCTTATTCATTTCTTTGTTTTCTTCTGTTTTTGCATCATAGTAGAGCACTGCCTTTATTCTAGGTTGCTTATATTTAAAACTGAGAAAGCGGAAAGATTTTTAAACTTCCAAAATGTAGTAAAGGTTGCTATACCATTCTTTTAGTGGCAGTTTTTCCATCTTAAACTACCAAGACAAAAAATAGAATTTTTAGGATAGGGATTATGCTGTAAACTACAGGAACAAACATTATGAACACAGACTAAGTTCTGCAGCAAAATTTAAAAAAAAGACAGAGCCTGAGCCTTGGAGGTGATTTGTGCATCTACAGCTGGAGCAAGCGCAGTCCAGTGATGCAACCACAACATTAAAAATGAGACAGGGCAGCTTTAAGAGAGAAACAGGAAGCTGTAACCAGAATCCAGCTGAATTCTGAGCTGGGGCACTTTACCCTGAGGCTGCAAATGAAACAGATGTGCTTGCTGTGAATTTCTGTAGTATCTGGACTTTTTTGTACCAAAGGTGGTAATACTTTCCTTCCTGCGATTTTTTTTTTCCTTTTATTTTGCATATATTTTCCGTAAAGGGAATGAAATGGAGAAGTTGAAGAAATCTGTATCAGTGAACGATGAAGATCAGTTTTATCATCAGGGAGCTGTGGAGTTGCTAGTCTTTAACTTTCTGCTCATTCTTACAGTATTAACGATTTGGTTGTTTAAAAACCATCGATTCCGCTTTCTACATGAAACTGGAGGAGCTATGCTTTATGGTGAGTATAAATTCAAGTGCCAGCTTAACATGGGACTAGTTGCATATTTATGATCAGGCACTTGATCTCAAGTGCTGACAAAGCTCAGAAAATGTGCTGAATGAAATGTCATCAGCTCCATAACTGTACAGTAAAATAATAATCTAACAGGATCTCTCATGAAGTAGCTAGAGGCTGACTTGTTAAGGGAGCAACCATCATGAGCTGGTTATCCTCACAATGTGCACGTTATGTTCCTCTATAGGCAGACAGCCACTGCATGACACTTTCGGAGGTAGGGAGTTTACTGTTTTCAAAAGAATGAAATGCCCACAGTGAAAGAGATTATTTAGTTTACTTATTTTCCATGCTTGTTTTTTGTAACATTCAAAGGTGTAATATAAAGTTTAAATGATCTTGAGATTTTTCTTTTGGTCTTTCTCTGTGCCTTTGAAAAAACAAACTGTGAAGAATGCCTCTCTCAAGTCTTCTCTGAATGCTGTCATTGTGCTGTAATTTCAGTTTGCCTGTCTAGTTCTAATCTTCTTTTAGGAAATTTTGCAATGTTGTGTATCACTTTCATGTAGAACTTTCTGCATTGTCCACTGATAAAAGTACTCACTAGTTTAATGGCATACACTTACAGGTATAATGATTTCTCTTGTCATTCTGTCTTACTGTTGTTTCACTCTGAGAAAAGTGTGTGACTGCCATTTCTGTTACCATAAAACACATATGGGAGGGTAGCAGTGTCAAAATGGAAGATCTAAATCAACAGCTTAGTCATTACGCATCTAAATGCCAGCCTGTTTTGACTCAGACTCATTCTACACGTACTGCATACTCTAGCAGTGTAATACCCAAAACTGATTTTGTTAAGGTTGCATATTCTGAAGAATATTTGTTTACCATGGCACACCGCATGCAAAACACTCTACGGAGGTTCACCTGTAAGCCTGCAACAGAAAAGGCAAGTGTCCCCTACATTTTGAGTTAAAAGCTTCATTTTGCTCTTCTTTATCAAGCATTTTATGATCTCAGTTCCGTAGGAGCTGAAGATTGCAGCCTTCTTTGTATCCCTTTCAAGATATTTCATATAAATTAACTATACGAAATTTCAAGAACACAGGCTATTTCATCTTCCTGGTTCAGTTACTATCTTCTCAAGTGACTTGATACTTTGCAGGAAAGCAAGTAAACAAGAAACTCTTGTATTAAGCCAGTCACTGAGCCCCTAACACCTGGGTGAGGAAGTTTGTAGGATCTCTTCATTCTCATCTGCCTTGCATTTAATGAAAAAGTATTTATTTGATAGTGTGCCCTTTTTCTAATCTTGAAGTCTGTCACACACAGAAAACACACTTCAGCTGAATCAGCTCAGACTGAAATACATATCACACAATACTTAGTTAAATGCAATAGTTTTCACTGTCAGACATCACCTAGATTGTTGTTTAACAGTTTTATGGGGTACAAGCTACATGGCATCACTGAGAATACATTTGCTTGTTGCGTTTCTGTTAACATCTCTCAAAAGGAAAACCATGAAACACTGTGCAATATAGTCATTATGATCAACTTGTAAATTACAATGTTTTTCTAATTACATGGGTGACTCTTCTATAGTAGCTTCATTTATACTACTGTGCTGTTCCCCATGTGCGACTGACAACATTTGTTGAAGATGTAGACAAAAACCTATCAAAATAGAAATTAAATATGGGGGCAATACAACATTGCACAAATAAATCAGTATTTAATTAGAGTTTTATCTATCCTTTGGTTCTATTTTGATGCCTGCCCAGAGCATAATCTGCACATCATGAGGACAACCAGCTTGTGATATTCTTTTGATCAGTTAAAAAATTAGTGCTCCATCAGGACAGAGGTTTTGAATTACTAAAGCATTCATGAACAAAGGAAACATTCCTCATGATTGTAAATAAACTATCTATTTAGTCTTGCATTATTTATGGCAACCTTCAAAGAGGGAGATAAGCTTATTCGTAGGATCCAAAAAGCTGATAATGTCTTTTTTATCCTTAGAAATTTTGGGTACAGGTTTAGGTATCTGTAGTGTTGTGGAATAGCAATAATGAAAAGAAAGTGGAATTTCAGAGGTCATGATAGAGGTGTCAGATCAACAGGCAGCAACACAGGGAGAAAAATCTTCATGGCAGCAAACACTGACAGTGAGCCAAATCCTGTCCTCACTTCTTTTTTGCCATCATTATCAGAACAATTCTGCTTTCTACCTGCTTTTTACAAACCAAAAGCCTCTGCATTAGTGTTTGCTTTGCCCCAGCCCATTGAGCTAGTTGCTAGATACACGAATAGCAGCACAACTGATAATTTTGCTTCAAGTGATAGGAGAACATGGCCACTTCTTTGCAGACTGTCCCCCACAGTATGATAGATGGGTCTGTATTCCTTATCAAGACAGTGTGCCATTAGGGGTATGGCAGCAGAAGGGATGGAGAAAGTGAAATATGAGGAAGACCAGGGGGAAAAAAAAAAAAAAAACCAGCACAGAAATACAATAACAGGAAGAAGTTTTACAGTTACTGCAAAGTGCTGAACAGCCACAAATTGAACACTAGGAAGAGCCTGATAGGCAGTTCTATTTCAAGTACAGAAAACAAATAAAATAGTTGTTTTGGGGGTTTTTTGCATAAACTTTGTAGGAAAATGCAGTTTTAGGCTGAATAGTTCCAGCTAAAGAAAATCCCATACTGCAAAACTATCCATTTAGAAACTTTAAAAACTGACATGTATTAATCTTTATTTTTTTAAATCAAAGCAATGGTTCAACACTAAATATAGCTATATTTAAATTAAAATTATTTCTGCAGCTGCAAAGAAAAAAAAAAAAACAAAGCATTTAGCATAACCCAGAATTAATTCAAAAGGAATTCAACATTATTTCACAAAAAAAAAAATTATGTGTACATATATACCTGTATATATACGTTTCAAGGCATTTAGCTTGAAAGTATTGAAACACTCAAATTGTTTTGACACCAAACTGAAAAATCACTCACAAAAATGAAGAACACAGACTTACCTGTTTCTTCATTCATTCCTTTGTTTTCCAGTATCTCAGAAAACAAGTTTCTCTGCACACTGCAGCTTGGTTTGACAAACAGTCCCCAAATAGTGAACTCAACTTCCTGATTTCTGTATATCAAGGAGGCAGGTGAATATGGAAGAGTAACTTTGTGCCATCCAGACAGGGAAGAGCATCCTTTATCAGCACAATTTTCTATACAACAGCATAGTCATAATTAGTGTGGTAGATTACCTACACAAGCAGTAACGAAAACTAAATGCCACTTCTCTCAGATAAGAGTAGATGGCCTCTCTCTCAGCACCAGGCCCCAGAAGATGGCCTCTTAGTACTAGACCCGGTAAAAGACTTAAGTCCAGCCCGCCTGGATGAAGTCCTGTGTAGCATGCTCTAGGTGAGCCTGCTTTAGCAGGGGGGTTGGACTAGATGATCTCCTGAGGTCCCTTCCAACCCTTACGATTCTGTGATTCTGTGATTCTATTAGCCAGCTCCTACAGGGCCTAATACCTTTAGATACCTCAGTCATAAAACAGTAGGTGCCAAATTCCCCGTATAATACACAAGTCATGGCCTTTCACATTAGTGGGGGAATAGCCCAGAACTAGCATAATGAAAAGCTGAGTGTAAGTAAGTATCCAAATTTCTCATCTTCCCCAGAATTTAGGTATCTGGGCTACATAGAGATGCCACCAGTTACCTCTGATCAAGAGGCTAAAGCACCCCTGCAGGTAGGCAGCCAGAATTAAACTTTAACAAGAAACTTAACAGACAAACAAAAAAAACCCCACCACCAACCCAGCAATACAATCTGTGCCTTTTATCTGCTAGGTTAATTAGCAACTTTGGTTGAAATTGTTCTCAGCTTGAATAGTTGTTACCCCTAGGGAATGTGTGATGCCCCTTAGGGTGGAGGTAAGGCTGATTGAAGATGTACCTGCCTTCAAATTTGGGCTCTGTGGGACTGGTTGATCAGACTGGAAGGAAAACATGGAAAGGATGAATGACAGAACACAGTCACTGTAGCACTCACAAGAAATGGCTTCATGTTGCAGTGGTTAGAGATGCTTCCTGAAGTTTTGGGGGGCTTGGAGGGGTGGGATTGGAGGTCTACTGCTCTCTTTTTTTTTTTAGTTTCTCTTCCCTTCAATTGTTCAGCTCTTGACAGACGTGCAGTGGGAAAGCTCACAGTAGCCCTTCCTCAGCCTCCTCTGAGGATCCTATGCAGCGTGTTTGGAAGTGAGGCACGTACCAGAGTTCTTGATTCAACTTTGGTGTAGGTGTCTAATGATAAGGCAATATGATTCTTACACCTCCTAAATCCTCTTGTGTGGAATAATTGTAGTTTCCTTCCAATTATGAGTGTGTTCTGAGTACCCCTCATTCTCAAAGGCAGCAATGGATGTAACAAGTTCCAGAAAGAGGAATCTCTAGCCCCTAGTAAAATAATGAAGAGTACTTCTTTGTCTTCCTGACTACAACATTCACAATGAAGAGAGATTGTCAGGATTCAGAGGAAGGCATGGGAAAATCATGATCAAGGCAGTGTCCTGGTTTCGGCTGGGATAGAGTTAATTTTCTTCACAGTAGCTAGCATAGTGCTGTGTTTTGGATTTAGTACCAGAAGAATGTTGATAACACACTGATGTTTTCAGCTGTTGCCAAGTAGTGCTCAGACTACTCAAGGACTTTTTGAGCTTCTCCTGCTCGGCCAGGTGCATAACAAGCTGGGAGGAAGCACAGCTAGCACAGCTAACCCAAACTGACCAAAGAGCTATTCCATACCATATAACGTCATGCTCGGGGGGGTTAGTTAGTTCGGTCGGTCGCTCGCGGCTCGGGGCGTGCTTGCGGCTCAGGTACTGTTTGCGGCTCGGGACGGGCTGGGCATCGGTCGGCGGGTGGTGAGCAATTGCATTGTGCATCATTCGTTTTGTATATTCTGTATATTCTGTTATCATTCTCATTATTACTATTATTATTATTTTCTCTTATTAAACTGTCTTTATCTCAGCCCTCAGCTCTAACCTTTTATTTTCTTTCCGATTCTCTCGCCCATCCCATTGAGGGAGGGGGGGGAGTGAGCGAGCGGCTGCGTGGTGCTGAGTTGCCAGCCGGGTTAAACCACGACAGGCAGAAACTGACGTTTTGTAGTGGGTAGATGAAGAGAGGAATAGCAATCTTGAGGCAAACAAAGATATTTGGAAGAAATTCTAAAATAATTGGGAAAATCAAGTAACAGCTAAAACTGCATTGCTGAGTGTCATTATTAAGAAAGGCACTTTGTGGCTGACTAGATAAAATCCTGGGGAAAGAATGGTCCTGTTAGCTTAGGAGTTTGGCATGAGTGATTTAAGAAAACCCTTCCAATGCCATCATCTATGATTAAGGATTTTATCCTGCTTCCACTGAAGAAGTTGGAAAACCTGCATCACTTTCAGTTGAAACATGACTGAGCTCTAGATTTTGCTGCAAGATCTTACTTCAAAGAACAATTGACACCTTTTTAAAGAAATCTGTAACATTAGTTACACCCTTTTCTGTTTCAATCCTGCATTTAAATAAATGTGCTTAAAACATGAATTAAATGAAAGTACTAGTTCTGAAGGAATATACCTTAAATAAGGGGAGGCTGAGATGAAAACATTTATAACTGGATTTGGATTCCTAGAATAGAAAATAGGTACTCTACTTTGTGCTAGTACACTCAAGTTTAGCCTTGCATAAGAGTTTGTATTTGCAATTACCTACATCCTTAGCTGACGTAATACTATTTGAAACTTTTTTATTCCTGCTAACCAGTACCTTAGTACAATACCTACTGTGATGTCAGGTAACAGGTGCAGCGTCATTCCTGACTCATCTTCAGGGAGTTTTAACAGTGGAATTCCTAGACTTACTTGGTAAAGCCAGGCTTTTGGTGCGTGCCACTATGATATATGACATTTCCCAATTATTTCTTTTTTCTTTAAATGAACTATAGAGTATGTTTCAGAAGATACATTAAAAAAGCATGATTTCAGTTTGGAAGGGGGAGTAGTGGAGAGTACATTATGTACCTATTTAAAAATTAATTATTTCTACTAGAATATAATCTGGGCTCCTGAATTCTATTATGAAAGAAGTGTTATATAATGATTTAAAGCAGAAAGTGCATTCCACAAATGATACGCATACTAAAATATTAAATACACTCTTCCCAGATTTTTAATTGACTGGGGGTATTATGTAGGGTCTTGGCACATTTATTATTACTGAAGGAAGAATACAATCCCATCACTTATATTGACTCTTGCAGTATAGTGTAGTGATAGCAATTGTCTTTGTCTGAAACTTCCATGTTCTGAATCAACCCATCACTTTTGATCCTGTCCATATTTTGTTCGAATTTAATACATTATAGAATTTCCTTATGAGCTCCAAGGACCTCAGAGCCCCATTGATACCCTGGTAATATTGATTGTTAGCATCTTCTCTAATGTAATTTCTCCAATATGTGTATGCTGTTGGATACTCTCACTATTTCCTTGTTCTTTCATTATAATTTCATTATTTGTGTGGCTCTGTACATTATCTGGATCTGAACTCCATTAGAGGGTAAGATCTAAAGCTGGTAGGAGAAAACCCAAAAGGCAAACTTGAATTCCAGTTGTAAATCTCAGTCAGTGTTGATCTTTATTTCTCTACAGTATTTTTCAAATACTCCTTTTCTGCAAATGGATTTATTTATACTCAAGAGCTGCCTTGTAGGACTAGGATCTACAATATTTGCATTTGTTTCCATTCCAGAAAATTCCTACAGAGGTAGTTTGAGACTACAGTTGAAGATAATGTATCTTCTCAGAATACAGCATAAGAACAGTCCTCTACTCCTAGTCTAAACTTGACACTACAGGTTGAAATAATTTGCCCTTGAACAATTCAATGCAATTGCATTACCATAATTGAGAACATTCTTTTTAATTTTTAAAACTATCAAACAGAATTTGGTTCAAAGTATACACTATATTAGCTAACACAACACACATACTAGGAATCTCAAAATGTTGTAGGACACAGTAGTCCACCTGGCTGTACAATAGTGATCGTAAAGGCAACGTCAGCCGGACTCCGCTGATCTCCCTTGAGCAGTTCCATGTTGCCATTCTGAATGTTATTATGTGTGCAAGCCACATAAACAGTTAAACTTAAAAGGCTAAAAAATTAATCAGAAGAAGAACTCTGAATAGTAGGATTTAAACTTTTTTTTTTAAATCACTTTCATGTTTTTAGCTCTTCATTCATGGTTTTTGAGCTCTTGGTTAAAAATAGTGCTATTTCCTTAAAGTATTGTCTTTTGTATGCAGCAAGAAGACCATTACTTGTACAAAGGAACGGGCTGCCCAGGGAAGTCATCAAGTCACCATCCCTGGGGGTATTTAAAAGACGGGTAGGCAAGGTGCTTAGAGACATGGTTTAGTAGTGGACAGGTATGGTTAGACTTGATGATCTTAAAGGTCTTTTCCAACCAAATGATTCTATGATTCTATAATTCTGTGAAATAAGCATGATGCTCATTGTTGCCAGTATAACAGAAACAAGGCTAGTAGAAAAACAGACTACTGTCCTACCTAATTTTGGAAGACATAGTGTGAGGGTCTAGGTAAAACTACTCAGAAAAAGGCAGGTCACTACAACAGATGCTGTAAACGAACAGGTAAATGTTAGAGTCACGGAACTGCATCATGGCAAGAAGTTGGGCAAGCACAGGAGAATTGTGTGGGAAAGATAATGAGGGACATACAGGAAAATATGATAAGTGACAGAGAGAATGCAGAGGGGAAAAAAAAGGGAAATGAAAGAGGAGATGATGGGATGGGTGAACAGGTAGTAACAGCACATTTGTCTAACCAAACACTTCTTTCTCCTGACTATATGAAACATGTTCCAACTTGTGACCTGATACTGATTCTAGGGAACTGTGCTGCCAGATATTCCTGTTCTTGAGTAGTCCTTCTGCCAGTGTCCTCACACAGGCACTAGTGGATGTCTGCAAAATATTTCTGTTACCTGAGCCGATTAAGTCTATGTAATACCTGTTAGCAGAAGTGCAACAGAGGCTATAATTTAAAACATTGAGTGATAGGAACAAAAACAGTAAAGGAAAAACTAAAAGTTTTTTATTACAGAGAATGAGAAGGAAACACCAAGTCTTGTCCAAGCATCAAATGAAGTTGAATTTTTAATGTATTTGAAATTGAAAATGAAATAATGTAGTTCTTCTAGAGGAAATCCAATAAAAATAAGATTAAAACCCTGACTGTTTTAACTAATTAATGGTTTCCTGGGTTCTGACTCATGATTTTGGACATTTGGGCTGACCACTGTAGAAGTCCTATTTCACAGTAGCACATGGGGTGCCGCTTCCTATAAGTGCTTTCCCCCAAAATTTTGAGGAATTCTGTCTTTTACTGCAGCTAGATGTATTATCTGATTTATTGCATAAATGCTGTATAACTTAAAGTGGCCTTGGGATTTTCTACTGCTTATCTAAATCCTCTACCATTGAAAGAAACCAACCGTACTAAACTATAGATACAAAGCAAGCATAAATGCATATGCATACTAAACAAGCGATACTCTGTTGTAGCATCAGTCTAGGAAGCTACAAACTCGCCTTACATGCATGCTAGAAATCTGCAGTTCAGAGAGTCTCTGTTACAGGAAAATGTGCCAGTAACAAAGTCATCCTAGTTATCTCTCTAGGCATTTATGATCACTTTTATCACCATGGCTTCTGATTACTAGATAAATCTTAAAATTTAACATCACATTTTTCAGATGCCCATCATCTATTTCCTGTAATTTAATTTATTTCTTCTTTTTCATTAGTAAGTATATATATCTAGATGTTTAGATAACTTCCATCAATATTTAATCTGAGTATTCTTAGCACTTTATTAATATGTTCATAATTAGTAACTGTAAAGCTGTTCATCATATATGTGGGGTTTAAAGCACATAAGACATAAAAGAAGCATGGAAATTAAATTTGAAACCAAATCCAAGCCTCTGAGGGTGGAAATAATCTCAATAATGTTATCTAGCTAAATGTTAGTCACCTCTCCTGAAGTAATCATGCAAGCTCCCACTAGAAAGAAGTGTACTTTCCAGAGGACAATTGCAGAAGTAGATTTTCCTCTCTGTGAACTGTAAAGGGAGCCAAAAACTGTCTTAGATAAGAGTCCTAAATTGTAGACAATCAAATCAATTAATCCTAGTCTTAATCTTCCTTTCCTTATTCCTGCTTCTATTTTCCCATGTTTAAACAGTCTTAAAAATAGTCTTCTACAGAAAGCAGAATGTGCCTGAGGATACTGTGTCAGAGTTTTGCCCCCATGAACGAAGTGTGTAAAATCACCAAAAGCACAGCTGATTTTTGTATGCTCAGTACAGCACATTAGTTATGCAGGCATCCCCCTTCTCTACATATCTCATTCCCCTTCTCTACATATCTATTGAAAATGCAGTGGTTGAGCAACTCAGTTAATAACAATATCAGAATGATTCCAGCAACTGGATCAAAAAAATTGGAGTATAACTGAGCATATGTCAAACCGGCATCTGTATTCTAATGAAATTACCATTTTGGAAGAATATTTTATGGTCATCCATGAAGTTTTGAGTGAGCTGTATTTCTGTGAAGGTGGAAACACTGAGAAAGTGGTGTCCTAACTTTAATAGAGTTCATTTTTCTCCAAATAGGTAATTGTGTAGCATTGGATACTTAAAAGTGCCTGAATCTCTTTGGTTTTGTTTTCTTTGTTGGTTTTTTTCCTCTCCAGGCCTTGTAATGGGATTAATTATACGATATGCAACAAAAGCATCAGATGTTGAAAGTGGAACTGTTTATGAATGTGAGAAGCTGAAGTCTGGGCCATCCACTCTACTTATTAATGTAACTAATCAGGTCTATGAATATCAATACAAAAGAGAGATCAGCCACCACAATGTGAATGGTCGCCAAAGCAATGCAATGCTTCAAAAGGTAAAACTTATCTTCTTTTTGTTCTAAACTGTGTTCCTAAACTGTATTTCCTTTATTTACACCCTTGAGAGAAGAAAAGCTAAAATGTGACACAGAGAGAGAGAGGCAATTCTGAATTCATGGTGAGAAGGGTAAGCAAGGAAGGAGAACAGGAAGGGAAATAAGGTGCAGTAGAAACCTGACCGTCACGTAGCATACAACTGGCTGTATGCTTGCAGAGTGGTTGCCTTAACTCTTTTAGATGAGAGTCCCACCCCCTGCAGACACTGAGTTCACTTGCAGGCTCAGCTGTTACCTTGGATTCATCACCACCAAAACTTCATAAACCCCACTGATATCTTTATTTGTCCTATGTCTTAAAAGTGACTTGCTCTGGCAGCATAATGCAAGGGAGCTTTACCCCCTGTATACAGCAGAAGTAACTATAAACATTTTACAAAATATAAACTTGGAAATACGTACACTTCCATAGATAGGTGGGGGGGTTTATAACACTTAAATGCGTTACAATGTTCTCATACATTCATTCACTACCACAGTGGTCCTCAGAGGGGATTTCACTGGCTATCCCCAAGCTTGGGGAGTCAGCATTGTGGCAATTCAGGCTGGATGCAAACAGGGAAGTGGGGGAGGAAGTTTACAATCTTTTACAATGTCACGGCCTTTTCTGTTTTCTAGTATATAACAATTAAAATATTTTACTTTGTTAGTATATTCTTTCCCCCTTCTTGCAATATTTACTTCTTGTAATGCTCACTTTCTTAAAAAATGACAGCAATTTAAAGAACTCACAAGTGCAGAGAGACTTTTTAAAACCTGGATTTTATGCTCAAAGGCATCACTTATTCACAAGAACCTTCTAAGCCCTTGCCAGTGTTTTTTAACAATATTAATACAATTACAATATTATTTTGCTTTTTTCCAAGTGTTATTGTTTCTCTAGCACAGTAATACATGTTCTTGTATTTTATAGTGGTTATCATTACAAAAACTATTCAGTTATCCTTAAAATGTGCACTGGGGAACTCAGCAGAATCAGGATTTAACGATCTGCTCAAATTCCTTGCTGATGCAGCACCACTGTGTGCCTGGCTGCCCTTATTGCCAGACTCTTGCCATTCTCAGAAAAAACAAGACTCAAGGACTATGAGAGCTCTAGTGGGTGCAGACAGGAAAATACTGTGGCAGTCAGACTAGTCAGATTTTGCCGAATCTTCATCCTTTTTCCTGCTGGTTGGTTGCAAGAGGTTTGTCTTAGTCAAAGTATGTGTTTAGTTTCCAAGGCTTATGTACTGAACATCATGTACATCCATTACATTTGAACATGTTCATCAAACCTGGTGTGCTGAAGCTGACCCGTGTTATGAGAAGGGAGGAGCACTAACTGGCACAGAAGCTTCTGTTGCCCTTACAGGGGATTGCCCAATCTTCTTTCCATAGTCTCACTTTGCTGGAAGATTCTTATAAGTCTCAACTGTGAGTTGTGGGTTTATCCATATTACTGGAGAGGCCTCAGCCTGCCCGGATTTTAACTCCTTTTTCCTTTAAAATTATTTGGCAAATGCACTCTTAAAAAGCAAATAAATAAATAAAAAAAGAGGGAAGAAATGAACCGTATTTAGGAGACAAATAACAATGCCTGGAAGCCTTCCTGACTGGCAAAAGCACTAACATAAAAACCAGAAAACACGATCACACCATGCTATGGGTTTTGTACAACTATAAGCCCCTTTTGACCTCAGTGTAAGTTTACTAAGTGCATTCATCAGAAAGAACAGACTGTGCCATGACTTAAAAACGTGTATCCTTTAGAACATGGTTTTGAATAATAAAACATGCAGTCAGGATTTCTGATGCCTACGGAAAAAAATATTTTAACATATTTGTCAAGTTAATTCCAAAATTAACATTTGAGGTTCTTAATTCATAAGTGAAGAAAATCCTTTTTCTATCATGTTGTCAGTGAAGTTACCAGCACAGCTAAAGTTGCCAGCACATTATTTGCCAGCTAGTTTTTTTCAAGTTTGTAACTCAAAGTAAGCAGAATGGAAAAAAAGGCTGAGCTCTCACTTCCTGTTTATCAAATGAAGCTATCTGGTGGTAAGAATACAGAAGCAATTTTGCAGACAGGTCTTACTCTTTTGAAGCTAAATAATTCATCTAGAATACTGTAGCTTTAAAATATCACTTTATCTGAGCAAAGGAGTTGCAAACCATTGCATTAATTGCATCCTGTCTCTTTTAAAAGTATTGGTATAACATAGCCCGCTGACAGAACAGTACACAGGCTTATTAAATTATTTTTTTCTCCAGCAATCCTGTGGTTTTAAACAGGACTCGGTTTTATTGAAAGCTACTTGTAATGAATTGCAGTGACTGAATATTGTCCTTGGTGTCTCTCTGCACCTGAAGGTGAAGGCAAATATGAACAGTGTACTGACAACACCTGGAATAAGAACTTTTTGACTTGCTTAACATCCTCCTCATTCTAGCATTACTTAAAAAAAATTTAGTTGGTATTTTATAGACCGCATCTGGCTATTACAGAAACAAAAAATGTGTGTTTCACATGAACAGGGGTCACATTACACAGGCATTTGTGCGTAACAAACTGCGTAACAGAGGACAAGTGGTGTTTGCTGCATTGCCAGCCAGTGGCTTGGAACGTGAACCACCAAGAGACCAACCCATCAGCATACCTTCAGTTCTGAAAGCAAATGGCACCTTAGCTATGTCTTAGCAGAAAATCCAGTTATCTAGTCCTTAGCTTATTGAGGATATAAGGAAACCCCTTTGCCTATAAAACAGGTGTGTAGGCAATAGGACAGCATCAGTGGTATGTTGCATCTTCAGTAACATAGAGAACGGTAACTGTCACCAGAAGCAAATTAGAGTTTCATTATTGTGACAATGTGATTTACAAAGGCAGCACAGAAGAGAATGTTACTGGTAAATTAGTTGAGCTGCTAATAATTCAGGCCATCACAAAACCCTCAGATCAAAATCTGGAAGAAAAGGCTTTATACCGTTTGTGAATTTCACAATTGTACTTTGTTAAACTTACATTTTGTTAGGAATTAGAAATAGCTAGTTACCGTGGAGAGTCTAGAGCTTGCTTTGTTGCAGTCAGGCCCAAACTGATTGGCTGGATTGGACAGATTATATTGTATGAGATGTGTTACAATGGAAATGATGCTAGAGAAGCACTCAGCAGATTTATTAAGAAACTTTAGAACCATAGAAACCTGTGCTGGCAGCTCAGCAGAACTGATTATACAATTACAGTTTAATGAGTTATGTCACATCTGAGCTACATTACCTAGCCACGTGAATGTTCCTTGCCTGCTGAGAACATGAGGTAAAATACATTTTTGATCACTTTTAGGTTAACTCAAGTGAAGTAATGAACACGGTCAAAGTGTGGACAGTTTTCATGAGCAGTAGTTCAAGGAAGCACACAGCAGCTGACAGCCAGTGGTTCATTAAGCAACATTAGCAAGCCCTGTGTGTGCCTTAAATAGATGTGCTTCAAAGGAAACATTACATTGGCTTTGGTAGTGCAAGTCTTGCCTTTCATCACCACTCTGTATGTGACAAACTAAGGCACAACCCTGATGATGCTTTTCCCCTGAAACTGAAGAGAAGCCCATAAAACAGTGCATGACCAATTTCCTTCTTTAAGGAATACTTTTCAAGTAGTATTCTACATTTATAAGCAGTAAGGAACTACACATTAATACTTGCAGGAAAACAACTCAGAATGACATTCTGGCCTGCAGACATTGAAGCTGATCCTGAGAAGTTGTAACTAAGAAGTTACAATTAAAACCTATCCTATCAAATTAAATACTACTTTGTTTGTCCTTACCCTCTCTTTTGTCCTTTCTGGCAGATGACATTTGATCCTTCCATCTTCTTCAATATTTTGCTGCCACCCATTATATTTCATGCTGGATATAGTTTAAAGAAGGTATGTGTCTCTCTCTTATATTACAAAAATGAGTGAATGTGATTGCTACTTTGTAGATCCAACAGGCCAGTGACAGAGAAAAGAGTCAGTTAACAATTATATTGCATGGGAATGACTTGACAGGAATGGAAGAAAATGAAAGATGCATGGACCTCATTCTGCTCCCTTTCTTTTTTGTCTGAATCTGGTGACATTGCACGTAGGCAGCAGCCTATCTGTATTTTATATGCTCTGTGATCAGGACTTCATTTGTTCAAGGGATGGGATTATGGCATCAGATATTTTCAATGTGAACTTCTGTAATGATCCTGAAGCATGTGGCATTTTGATGGCATTCCACTAGGCAAAAAAATGAATCATCTTAAATTGTATTTTCCAAAATAACTGATGGAGCCTATATTGTTTCATCTTATATTTGAACTATGAATTGTAACAAATGGCACTTCTAGATGCGGTGTTTCAACTTGGTCTGAATGGTCTTTTACTACTGACTGTATTACAAAGAACTTTTTTTCAAACTTTCCTCCCCAGAGACATTTTTTTCGTAACTTAGGATCGATTTTAACCTACGCCTTTTTGGGAACGGCCATCTCCTGTATTGTCATAGGGTAAGTGAATGCCTTCTGCTATTATTGTTGAAGTCATTACTAGTGCCTGGTATTTTTTTTTCCAATTAAAAACTAAACTGTAAAGAGAATTGCGGATCCTGCATGGTCAATATACTTCATAACTTGCGTAACAGATAAAGTAATTCCATATCAGGGAACGCTGAGATAGAAAAGGCAAAACTCTTGGATAGTAAGAACTGTCTAGGGCATTCATGAAACTGTGTCCTTCATTTCTGGTCTGTGACTGATGTAAGCATGAACTGCTTTCTACAACCCTGTAGCTTTAAGCATCTGTCCTGAGAAATACAACCATTCTCTCAATTGAAATTCTGTGCTTCTAACCAGAATTCCTTCTAGAGGAGCGCAGATCTCTAACAGAAAAGGAAGAACTTTAAATCTCAAAAGGGGAAGGAACAGATAGCTAATGGCATGTACGTAAAATAACTGGAGTAATTTCAAAGACTAAGTGAAACTTTTTAGTTGCAGATATGTGAAAAGTCTCGGTCTGGAATTATGTGTGAATTTAGCCTGGGTATGACTAAATGGCTTCTGCAGAAAAAAGAGGAAGGGAAAAAAGCAGAAGGGCAAAAAATATTGGTTTATTTCCATACCTCCTTAGTGAAAAGTTTCTAGTTTTGTTTCAAAATTTGCCTAATTAAATAAAAGATTGCCTAGTCAGAAGTGGATTATATATTTCCGGTCTGTAAGGATGTTTGGTTAGCTCAATCAAAATTAAACCATTTAAAAATCCTTTTGGATCTTAAAAGTGCATGTGTTTCGCAATGCTTATGAATACCACACAGACACTTCAGCTCTCATGTTTTGGGAAAATTCCTGATGCAGGTGAAAATGAAGACCAAAGTTGGATTCTGCAGTGAGCGGGTATCTGTGCCTGCACAGAGCCTTACTGAGAAAAGCAATGCACTGTTCGCAGTTTAACCTTAGCATCCTTAGGCACCCCATGGCACTTCTGTGCTACGGAGTGGTGCAGAGACAGCCGAGTCCATACGGTCTGTGAAGGTGATAGAGCAGTGCTGCATGTGAGTGTCTTGCCAAGAGGCCTTGATCTTGCTGGGATTCTGCAGAGTCAAAATGGGAAAAAGTCACTGAACTTTCGGGTGTTCAGGTTTTAGACAGGAAGCACACTGTGTCTTACAGGACTCATTTGAGGTCCTGGGCTGCAGAACTCCGAAACGTACCATTTAAATCTCTGCATGGTATGGAAAGCTTTATGGAAACACTCAATTTTTGTGAGGGTGCTTGGATTTAAAACTGGTCAAAATTCTGTACCTATGAATAGAACTTTCAAATTATAGAAACAATGCTTTTTATTTCTGTCTTTTCCCTTTCTTATAATGGACCTTTAAGTAAAGATGTGTGTGTTGCATCAAGGTATAAGCTCCTTGCTAGCATTATTACAAGATGGAACTTTCTCCTTTAATGTCATTTTGATAATAGTAAAACACATGAATGACCTATAACTTAGAGTTCAATGATTTTACAGCTGTTCTTTTATGGGTATGTCATCATATCTATCTTGACATCCTAGGTTACTAATAATCAAGTAGCTTAGTAAGCATAATGTACCTGAGGCACTGTGGCTATTAAATGTTCTACAAGAGCTCCAAATGCCAGGAAATTTTAGATTCCACAATGAAAAGCAACATTCGAAGTATAATCACCGTCTGTGCTGAAATACAAAGGAGTGTAGCCTGTGTATGTGGCTGTTTCCCCTGTGTGTGAAGGGGAAAATGCTGAAGATCTATGGGCTAAGGAGAAAGGATACCTTTGATTTCAGACACAAATCTGTAACCTCCAGGAGACAGTGTGCCATGTGTCTCACTTACTGGAGAGGAAAAGCTTAATCCTGCTTTTCTTTCTGAAATTTTGCTTTCCTTGAGAAATGGCACCTCATCATCCTCTGACCTCTCCTATTGCTTGTTCTCCTCTGGAGAAGGATGCAAGGCAGAAAGTGCTGGATTTGGGGGATCCTTCTTTTCTAATGGGAACAAGCATGGAGTTTTAAAGACCCAGAGTATACAGGATTCTACAGAATGACATAATTAAACAATCAGAACAATTTCCTGCCTGGTTGTTTGATATCCCTGCATTTAAACCACTCTCTTCCTTTCTTTGTGAGGCTCTACACCTTGTGATATAGCTCCAAAAGCACTTAGCCACATGAAAGAGAAATAGCAGTATTGCAGCACTGTAACTTCGGGGTGGGAATGACTGCATCATAGATCCACAAGGATCACAGTTTGGACAGCTGCGCCACTCATATGTTTCCCCCATCTTTCTTTGCAGTAATATGCACCTCAGTAAGACCCCAGCTATTGGAGTTGCTTCTTTCCATACGCATTTATATGGCCAGTAGCACCCCTAAGGTTGGAATTGTATATTCAGTAAAAAAATCTGCATCCTGATAACAGTTAGGGCTGAATCCTGGCACATTACTGAGGTAACAGTGGTTATGGATCTCATTAGGACTCTTCCTGTGCTTCCTCTCACTTGTCTTAGCCACTGAACATTTCTCTCCTGTAAACCAATTGCTAATAGCTCTGTGAGACTGCGGAAAAGCAGCAGGGCTGTCCAGCCCTGTGATGCTCTTAAACGTGCATCTGGTTTCTGAGCTCTGACATGTGTCATTGCCCTTTGCAAATGGAAAATGCCAGAGCAGCTTTGATAACCTTGTTAAGAGAAACATAATATATTGAGTTTAGCCTACATTCCAAATGCTATCGTTCCTGTATCCATGTTATTTTATCTAAATCAGAATAAATGCAGATAGAATCTACTACAGAAAGTTCCTACTAGGTCCAGCAATTCAAAGTTCAAGCCCATAGTCAGGGATAGAGATCCAAAGGAAACCCTAAGGCAGAAGAGTAAGCACTGAGCAGACTGGGCCTTGTACTGTGTTCTGTGCAAACCCACAACCCCCACTGAAATCACTGCAGAGAAGGCAGGTAATATATTCAGAATAGGGCTTATGTGAGTGTGAAGCATATTTGCAAAATGTACACATCAGGATACGAATGAGATAATGAGAGCATGAAAAAGACGATAAAAAAACTTTACTGAAGGGAACTAAAAGTAAGTCCTAAAAGAAAAACATATCCTAAGAGAGAGGGGTGAAGAGCTATAGTTGTTACAAAAGAAAGGACAGAACCCTGAGCTACTTCTAGATTGCATTGCTATAGACAAATATTTTGTGCAAAGCTATGATTAAATATGTGCTTTTTATTATATATGCACAACACATACACACTTACAGTACATCAATACACATAGGCTTAGACTCTGTATCTGCAACCTCTCATTGGGACTGTGCTCTTCCCGCCTGAGTGAATTACAAAGCACCCGCTGCAAACTCCTCCTGTGGGTCTTGCTGTAGCGACAGGGTGCAGCCTGTAACAAAGGAGGACCAGCCCTCTCTTTGTAAGCCAGAAACAGCTGGGATATATCATTAATAAAGAACAGCAGCATCATTTGGATTGTGCAAACTCTTAAAAGTGCTAAAAAAAAAAAAGTTGCCATGGAACACACTGATACAATGGTGCCTGTCTCCTCTTTGTAAACCTTTGCTTTTCTGTGAAAGGCTGTCTTCTGTCATCAGGAAAGAGGGACTGTGTGGAATTTGAGTGAAAAGGCTGTAATTAGATATTCCCACTGAGGGCAGGGGAAGGAGTGGTAAGAGGCATTGCTTTTTATTTTAGTGAAGGCAGTGCTGAAATGTAATTGCTTTCAGCTAAATACTACTCTAAGGAATGCCTGCCCATGTTAGCTGTAATACTGTCCTCAGCTACTTAACACACATGCAAGTTATAGTAATTCCCAAGCTTTCCCAGCTAGGCCAAGTTATGCCCTTTGCACCAAGTCCGACTAGCAAGGATCCATTCAGAGAGATCCCACAAGGGAAAGGAGAAATTCCCCCACTCCAAGCCATATCGACTTTGCAGAATTGCTGAAGTTGTCCCCTTCATGGTGAACAGTCCACTGACTCTGGGTCTGTATGATACAAGGTGATACAAGATCCAGTCTCTCAACAGGTATTTTTTCTACCAGTGGTTCCAGCTTCCCATCTCCTGAAGAACAGTATGGGATGATCAGTGAGACAGCTCTTCACTCCTAAGAGAAATCATACAGGTTAAATCTCTCTGTGGGCTTCTCTGATACAGAGTGGGCAGTCTCTTGCTGTCACAGACTACTTGAGTTTCACAGACTCAGAGAATAATTTAGGTTGGAAGCAACATGTGGGAGCCTGCAGTCCAACTTCCTAATAAATGCATGACTGGCTTCAAATTTAAATCGAGTTGCTCAGGGCCCTGTCCAGCTGAGTTTTGAATATCTCCAAGAATGTGAATTGCATTGGCTCTCTGGGAAATCTGTTCTAGTCTTAACCACCCTCACTGCAAAGATTGTTTTTCTGTATATCCAATTGGAATTTCCCTTGCTTTACGTTGTAACCATTGCCTCCCATCCTTTCACTGTGTGTCCCTCAGAAGGTGGCTTCATCTTCTCTATCACCACCTTTTAGTCGAAGACAGCAGTTAGCTCCCCTCCTAGTCACAAAAGAAAGCTAAGTTGCTTTTCTTCAGGCCAAAATAACTCAGCCCTTTGTCTCTTCTCATACATCATGCCTATCAGCCCCCTAACTACCTCGGTGGTTCTTTGCTGGACTGTCTCCTATCAGTCTTTCTTCTACTGGGTGCCCAAAACTGGACACCTTATTCCAGATGCCACCTCACAAGTGCCAAGAAGAGAGTAATTGCTTCTCTTGACTTGCTTACTACACTTCCACGAACGCAGCCCTGTTTGCGGTTAGCCTTCATAGCTGCACTTACAAAGTCCACCTCTGACTCGTGCTCAACTTTATATCCTCCAGGGCTCCAGAGGTTTTCTGCATATACCTATCTAGCCAGTCATGCTCCTGTGTGACTGTTGCATGCAGTTATTCCATCTTTGCAATATGTATCTGGATATTAGCTGTATATTGACGA